GCAGGTCAAGGATAAATCCCAGGTGTCTTGTTCCAAATCTGGGCACTTTCTGTCCCACCATGGAACTTGTCACCCTCTTTCAAGGGTCTTTGTTCTCCTCTGCACTCCAGCTGGAGTCTACAGAGAACAGGTAGCCCTCCAAGGCAAGCACAGGCCCTGCCCCCAACCCTGCTTATCCTGGACCCACCCCTAACAAAGGCCAGGTGTGTTGACTCAGTTTGACTCATTCCCCAGGATCCAGACAACCAGACTGGGGGTATGCTCTGATCTTGGCAGTACTGGGCATCCTCCATCACCCCTCCAGAGTTTCATCATGGCCCTCCTCAGATTCAAGGATCAGGGACTCTGTGCCCAGCATTAAAGGTGAACCCCCAGAAACCCTTGCATCCAAATGGAGCCCTCATCAACCTAATGAATAAACAGCTACATAGCTCATGTTTAAGGAGAGTGTGGTGGCTCCACAGAATAAACACAGGACTGTGAACCACAAGGTCAGCAGTTCGAACCCAAAAGCAGCCCATAGGAGAAAAGATGAGGCTTTTTGCTCACATGAAGATTTCAAAAGCCTTGGAAAGCCTGTACAGGGTTGTTATGAGTTGGAACCAACTCAACAGCATTTAACAATAGGATCTGTGTCTTCAGACAAGTCTCCTATTGTCCCAGACCCTCAGTTTCCTCACTAGAAATGAGCATAATTACCCCTACTAACGTGTGGCAGTGTGCATTAATGCATCAGACTGCAAAGTCATTTGAACAGCAAGGTTGGTGATTCAAGTTTACCAGCTGCTCCTTGGAAAACCTATAGAGGGTTGCTATGGGTCAGAATCAACTCAATGACACTTAACAACAATAACCTTCACTTTGGATTCCTGGTGTGGCACTGAAGGTCAGCTTGAACTGCAAGTTCAGCAGTTCAAACTCACCAGCTGCTCCTCAGAAACCCTATTTAGGGTCTCTCTCTCTCTCTCTCTGAGTCGGAAGCAACTCAAGGGCACTTAACAGCAACTCCCACTTTGCAGAGTGGCTTTGTTGTTGTTGTTGTTACGTGCCGTCGAGTCGGTTCCGACCCATAGCGACCCTGTACAGGGTTTCCGAGGGTGTAAATCCTTATGGGAATAGAAAGCCTCATCTTTCTCCCGCGGAGCAGCTGGTAGTTTCGAACCGCTGACCTTTAGGTTCGCAGCCCGATTCGTAACCACTACGCTGCAGAGTGGCTACAAGGGCTAAATCAGCTAATGGGCATAGAGGAAGCAGTCCACATATTATTACAGAAGCAAAAGTGCCTTTCCAGGGTGTGGCCAAGACTAATAGGAGAATAAGGTAGCTGGGCATCTTCAAGCTTTTCCAATTGCCCCCTCCCCTGCTAGCTAGAAAGCAAGGAGCCTTTCCACCTCTGGGAAGCCTGGGCACCTGGGTTTTTCTTGAGGGACCCAGCTGTTAGTAAAAGGATTATTCTGAAACCGGGCTACTGACAGCTTGGAGCACCTTGGCCACATCCTGTCAGCCACTTCGGTCTCTGGGGAGTGGCAATGTAGAATGTTCTGATCAATTATCAGTGTAACAAACCTATGTGGAGCAAAATAGCTCCCAGCTTTAACTCAGACGTAACTTCAACCAGGTTGCACACGTCTCCCCGTTCTCCAAGTGAGCTCCAGCCCCAAGAAGCTGGAGATGAATGAAGTTCCAGCCTCCAAACCCACCCGGCCCAAGAAGCCATTCCCAGAACTACACCCTCACCCACAGGCGGCACTAACCATCACTATCCGTTCCCTCCACCAGACCGACCCTTAAGTCTAAAACTCCTAGGCCAAGGAAGCCTCTGCCCCACCAGGCAGAGAATCTGCTCCAAGCCACACCCCAAGTTCTGCAAAACAGCCCCACAATGCCCTCTGGTGGTGTTGCCCATCAACAAAGACATGAGGACATGGAGACAGGCTAAAGCCAATCTCCTTCCCAAGGGCAGGGTTGTGGCCTTCCAACAACACAGACTGTCCACCCCTGAGGGGGTTTCCTGTGATGAAGGCGGCCTGGAAGAGGACTGAGAGACAGTGACTCTGTGGTTCCTTTCTGTTTCTTGAGCCCCTGACTCTGAGTAGCTATCAGTGTCTGTTGACTGAAGAGAAAATGGAGGCAGGCTGGAAACTGGAGATGGCTCAGGAAGGTGTGGAAGTGATTTTTATTACCGGGGAGAGGGGTGACAGACAGACAGGTCACCAAGAGCAAGGGTTCAAGTAAGTCATTAAGTGTTATGTGACCTGGGGGAGAGTGGGTCAGCTGGAAGTGGAAAGAAGGGGCAGAAACCACATTTGACACCAGACCAATCTCCAGTCTTCTCACCGATAAACCATTTTCTCCAACAAGAATCATCTCCATAATCTGATACAATTTGATGAACCTGACCTACACCTATGGATGCAGTAGCTCAAAAGAGGGAACAAATCTTTACAGCAAGGATCATTCCCATCCCCTCCATACACAGAGTAGACAGGGATGGGCAACTTGGACATTGACTACCCAAAGTGGAGGGGTGGGGGCTACAAAGGCAAGATGTGACTGGCTTACAAGCTTTCAAGAGGGAACCTAGATCCAGAGGACATGGAGAAAGGTATAATCTCCACTGAGCAGTATCCAATCTGTTTGGGTGGGGCTGATGAAAGAGATGGGGATAGGTCTCTTGTGATACAATAGTGAATAACTGTTAACAGGACTGATTGTGAGGGTTGGAAATGTAAAGGTAGACAGTTTTGTAGCAAGTAGGGGAGTGATTAATTTTGCAGTCTTGGAGTGGAGGTCCCTGGAACCATCAAGGGAGAAGAGCAGAGAGCAGGACAGAGAAGCAATGACACCAGAGATGGAGGCAGAGAAGATGATGTGGAGGGATGGAGCAGCTGGGGACTTTAGACACAGACCCAAAGAGGGAGAGGGGCTGTGTGCTGATGACTAGGGGGAGGGGAGGCAGGCTTTCAGGCATGGAGGGGATTGTAACCATGGCAATGAATATAAAACTAATGTTCTCCCATGTAAAATATCACATAATTCACAATAAAACATTAAAAAAAAAAAAAAAATCATCTCTAGCTCCCTTTCTCCTCCCTCTCCAAAGCTGATTATCAATCAATCCCAGACTAAGGCAAGACTGCAGTGGTGAAAGCACTTGACACCATTAGCTAAAAGCTTCTCTGGTCAAGTGCTCAAACCCATCCCCCACTCCCCACCCCCCCCACCCCCCCTGGAAAAAAAAAAAAAAAACGTTCTGGCTGGGCGTGTCCTCACTGTTACCTCTAGCAAGTCCCTGTCTTCACTGGGCCTCTAGATCCCAAATGACCCAAGTGGCCTTGGAAGGTTCTCCCTCTCTGGAAAGGTCAAAGGATGCCAGTGCCCATACAGCTCTCTTGGTCCCCAAGCTCTGTCTCAGGAATTCTGAGATCTCCTTCTGGGCCTCTCTTCCCCAACTAAGAATGGGTTAAGCAAGGCCTGGCTGCTGGCCAAGAAACCAATCCAAGTTTGGTACCTAGGGAGAGGAATGGCTTATGGAGAAGAGTCAGGTGAGGGTCCCTGGGGCTCAGCATCACAAAGTAGTGCGCCCGACCTGAACAGGATTAGACCTGAGTCTAATTACTCTACGTTACCCTATGTCACCCTCCTTCTCCTCCTTAGTCCCAAACCCTGATACGAGGGAAGGACAGTCATGATCAGAGAAGAAACTGGTCCAGAGACAGGGCACAGAACAGTAGGGTCCAGCCCTCCCCACTCCCTGCCCCTGGGACATTATAGAAAGGACATAGGAAAGGCCTGGGCCTGGTTCTGCCCCTCAATGGCAAGTGACCTTGAGAAATCCCCTCTCCTCTCTGTAAAAAGAAGACTCCTTTAAATTAGCTCCTGGCTCCCTCAGCAAAAGCAGTGTCTGTTTCTAGAGCTAAACATAAGATCTAAATGGAGGAAGAACAAAGACCTCTGTCCATGTTAAACTTACCACACACCTTGCAGGAGGTGATGACACCAACTTCCCAGGCTGACAGCGAGGCCACATTTAACTTAGTGAACAGCAAGACACCCACAGCTGAGTGGGGACAAGAAACGGGCCTGAAGGACCCTTGGATAAGATGAGCTGTAGATTTCATTTCAGGCCTGGCCCCTTAAAGCTCCCCTTTCTAGTAGTTAAAGCCATACCTGTTCCCTGGGGCCTGTTAAAGGTTAATACCTGGCTCCATCCCTGGCAGAGCCATCTTAGAGACTAGGTAGGAGGAGGGGTTCTCTAGGTCCTGCCATATTAAGAGAGAAAAGTGAAGCTTTAGGCAGTTGGCATGGGAAAAAATATGTCTCCTGGAGGCTGAAAGGCCTAAAAATAAGTGTGATGGGAACCAATCTATAACCTATCTGGAGTCCCGTCTTCCCAGATGGGAAACAGAAGCTAAGGAGCGAACTCAATCATGCATCCTGCGCCAGCTCCCACGCCATTCCCTGAAGTTAAGGAGCTGAGTTCTGTTAGAAAGCAGCAACCTGAAGGGCACGACCCTTGTTACATCCTCGTGACACTTAGGAAAGGCGAGTGTAAGGAGGCCAGCGTGTGTGTGTGTCGGGGGGGGGGGGGGGGGGGGGGGGGGGGGGTGCTGCACAGTGTGGCAGGTTCACACTGGTAAAAGTCTGGTGCCAGAACCCTCCTGGGATCTCAGTACCCTCAATTTGCCCAACTCCGCAGTGAGAACTTCGTGCTACCTCACTCTCCCAGGTGGAGAGGTTGCAGCAGAATGTGGTCAGCTTTATTAGGGACCCAGGGAGGGGAGAGCGGTCGGGCAGCCCGGAACCACCCGCTGGTCCCCACAAATGCACCACCCACTAATACTGCACCTCAGCCTCCATTACAGGGTCCCCGGGCCCTGGACAGTCTTCCTGCGATCTGTCTGTCCATCCGCATCGGTGATGCCTTCCATTCAACGGTATAGGTCTCTCGGCGATGGCTGGTCTAGGGTGGCGGCGGGGAGGGGGGACCAGGTTCGAGGTCAGCGCTGGGGAGAGGCGGGGCCGCGGGGCGGGCTGCGGCGGAAGGGCGAGTCGGGCTCGGGGCCGTGGCCTCGCCGCAGGCGACCGGCGCCCCAAGGCACGCAGCCACCCAAGCCGAGTGCCGAAGCGAGTAGCGCGGGCGGACGAGCACGACGGCCACGACGCGGGCCCTTCTTAAGGCGCGGCCCGTGCGCCGCCAAGTAGAGCTCGGCTTGCGCCACGCCGCCGCCTAAACGACCCAGGCTCTCTGCGCGGTGCGCCAGGCGTAGCTCCGCCGCCAAGAAGACACGGTGCAGCTGCAGCACGCGACTCTCCAGCTCCGACACCAGGCGCCGGCGGCCCTCCACCTCCAGCAGCCGTCGCCGCGCTTCGGCCAGCTCCAGCGCTCGGCCCCCTGTCCCCGCCGCGCCGCCGTCCGCTGCCGGCCCGGGACCCCCCGCGCCCCCGCTAGCGCCCTGGCGCCAGCGCTGCAGCTCCTGCCCTTCGATCGATTCCGGGACCGCCCCCGGCGGGGCCTGGGCCGGGGTCAAGATCGGAGTTGGGGACGGGGGCGGGGACTGAGGGGACGGCTGGGGCTCCCGGGGTGGCGGCGGGGACCCTGGCTCCGCCGTCCCTTCCTGGGCCCCGGGGCCGCAGGCGCTGATGCGGCAGCCCGGCATCCCCCGCCCCGCCCCCCCGGCGGTCTGCGGCTGTCGGTCCGAGGGTCTGGCGAGCAGCCCCCGCGCGGGGGAGAACGGTTAACGTGCCCAGGCCAAGTGCGATTCGGCCGCAGACTCCGCACCAGCGCAGAGCGGCGCCAGCCGCCGGTGCGTCTTATATTACGAAGAACTGAGCGATGGACAATGCAGCCAATCAGAAACTGGAATGCCTTGGACCCGCCCCGCCTATTCAGGCTGTTAGCCAAATCTGCCAAGTAGTTATCTTCCGCCGGGCTGTGTCGGGTTAAGGTATCCAAATTTGGGGTGAAAAGGAGACCCTATTTCCTACTCTGATCCCTCAAAATCATAAGCTCTAATAGCTGGTGTTTGGAAGTCGACCTCAAGGTCGGTTTAAACCACAGGTCAGCGGTTCAAATCCACCAACCGCTCCTCCAAACCCTATACAGAGTCGCTATGAGTCTGAATCGACTCCATGGCACATAACACAGTAGCGGGTGTTTAGGATTCATGGACTATAGTCTTCACCTGGGAAGGGTCTTGCCTGAGTTCACACTGGTGTGGTGGCGAGGCCCTAGTGAAGGACTGTAGAGTCCATTTCTAACATCTAACACCTGGTAACTATTAATCAGTGAATAATCTTTAGCTCGCTTTTGATGTAGACTCTCTAAGACTTAGCTCGCTAAGTAGCCTTGATGTAAAACAACACTGACATAAATTGTTGTAATGTAATCATGGTTTACCGTAGACTCTGGCTCCTTGTGACAGCTAGAGGAATAGATCAATGTTCTGCCTGAGTTAACTCGGTTCCAGGACCAACCCCCATCCTCCCTTTATCTCCTGGGAAGAATGAATGAAGTGAAGTTATAGGGAGATCAAAGTACATCACAGAGAAGTTGTAAATAGCAAACAGGATATTACACCCCCACCCCCACCACCCTCACCCCCCAGTTCACTGGCCTGGGGAAGGGGAGGGAGGGGAGACAGACCCTTGTTGGTACTTAGGCGTAAGTGCGTCTGTCTCGGATCCGCTGAATAAAGGCTTGTCATTAAGGTCTCTGAGCCTCCGAGTGCATTTTCTTGAACTAAGGTCTAACACTAGACTAGAACTCAGTGTTGTTGTTAAGTGCTATCCATAGCAACCCGGTGTAGGGTTTCCAAGGAGCAGCTGATGAGCTTGAACCACCAGCCTTGAAGTTCAAACGACTTTGCAGTCCATGGCATCAACCCACAGCACCACACCAGGAATCCAGGGGGTCTGTGCTAGGTTCTATATCTCATGCTGTCCATGGCAGAATCCGTTCTGCCTGGTCTCCTGGGTCACAAGACTAGCTAGGACCTCTTAGGAGGGGCAGTGGAGGAATTAGCACAGATGAACGATTGGTGTCCCAGGGATGGGAGTGTGGTGGGGGTGGGAATCCCATTGGGTTTGGTGTCAGGCAGGCACATTCCTTCCCTTGCAAACAAATTCCCCAGTGCTGCTGCTGAGCACAAGGCAGCTCTTGAGACCTTTGGTGGCCCTCCAGAAAATCCTGTCCTTGTTTGCTCTTGCAGAAGATGTCCCACAACTTTTGCATAGAGGAAGAAACGAACCCAGAAGGAGCAATATACCCAAAGTCGTTCTGTGGATCAGTGACTGAATCTGAGTTGGAATGGGCCAGCTCAGTCACTCAGGCCCTCAGGGATCTCAGATAGCTGGGTCTCCACCCTGCTGCAGAGAGGCCCTCCTTTTCTGGGACTTTGTTATCCAGGCAAAATGCCTGCCTGAGAACCTGCTGAAGGTGTGGCCAGCCTGAAGAAGAGACTGATGCAGGAGCTGAACTGCTTCAATGTAGAGGAAATAAGAACAGTGCCCCGGGATCGAGCGCGCGCGCGTGTGCGTGTGCACACACACACACACACACACACACACACACACACATTCACACACCCAGGGGGTTCTCTAAGTGTTCTCAGGTGTTTCAAACTAAGTGATGAGGACTCCTGGACGAAGCAGCTCTGTTCAAAAGAGCTGAGAAGTGAGTACCATGAGGAGGTGCTAAACTCAGTGAAGGGCAAGGGTGGAAGGTTTAAAGGGAGAGAAGGAGCAAAGAGTGCTGGGGGGTGGAGAGTAGAGGAGGGGTTTACTGAGGGAACCTGGCTCAGAGAGGGGGATGGGACTCAATCAGTGGAGAGGGTCTGTGGGCACAGAGGTGTGAAAGGAGGCACACTGAGGGAGGAGAGTTCTGTGAAGTCAAAGGGGTGGCTCAGAGGCTCCCAAGCTGTCTCCAGCAAGGAGGAATACTTTAGTGTCTTCCCTTTGAAGGTCCCCTTTGTGTCTCAGAAGAAACCTGATGATGCGGTGATCCACTTTGTTGTTGTTAAGTGCCGTTGAGTCGGTTCCGACCCATAGCGACCCTGTACAGGGTTTCCGAGGGTGTAAATCTTTACTGGAGTAGAAAGCCTCATCTTTCTCCCGCGGAGCAGCTGGTAGTTTCGAACCACTGACCTTAAGGCTCACAGCCCGATTCATAACCACTACACTACCAGTATAGTTACCTATTTAATGAAGATGAAATACAGACATACAAGGGGGCTTCAAAAAGTTCTAGAAAATGGAGTTAAAAAAGAATAAAATTTTCCCAAAAACTTTTTGAAGACCCCTCAAATTATCAGGCATGCATGAAAAAAAACAGGGATTCTAAAATATATTAATTTTTTTAAACTCACTTTTATTCTACTAAGGATTGTATTTTTAATCCATTTATCTAAAGGCATTTTCAAAATTTTCACTGTCAGTAGTATTCAAGGCAAGCTGTCACTGTAGAAGTGTCTTTTAAAATTAAATCTGACTAGGAATACTTTACCCCTTCTAATTTAATAAATGTACTCAGAATTTCTTAAAACATCAGTAATATTAGCTTTGAAACAAACATAATACTACTGATAGTATCTTATTAAGTTCACTTAATCAATATAGGAGACTGGTTTGCATTTCTTTAACCTATTACTCAGCATCTTTTCTTACCAAAATTAAGAAAGAAAGAAAGAAAAAAAAAAGCACTAATTGGCCAGTTTAATGCATGAAGAATAATGTAAAAACAAAAGAATATAAATTACACAAGAAGAATCCACCTGGCCTCACCAACAGATGCAGTAGAAAGAGGAAACAGTATGTAAGAACTAAGCATGTAGTTTACAGAGGAAAATATCTTTTAGCTTGTAGGCATTAAGCTGATTATCTTAACATATGGAGAAGCGCTAAATTTGTACCAAACACATATCCACTGCTCAGTTGCTAATCATAAGGTTGGCAGTTTGAACCCACTGGCTACTCTGCAGGAAAAATATGTTGCAGTCTGTTTCTGTAAAGATTGTTGTTGTTGTTTAATGCCGTTGAGTGGACTCCAACTTTGTATAGGATTTCAGAAGAGCAGCTGGTGGGTTTGAACTGCTGACCTTGTAAGTGAGCAGTCCAGTGCTCATCCGACAGCGCCACACCAGGACTCTGTAAAGATTACAGCCTTATTAACCCTATGGGACATCCTATATGGTCACTATGAGTCAGACTGACTTGAGGACAGTGGAGATTTTGTCTCCCCACCTCCCCCCCACCCCCTAGACTGGTTTTGATTATTCTTCATATTCCCTGCAGTTAAGCAGAGTGTCTATACACAGAGGCATCAATAAAGCTTTGTTTAAATTGAAAAATAACACAAGGCTAGAATATATTAGGAGTCCTGGTATGGTGCTTATAGGATAAGCACTAGACCACAAGGTAGATTTGAACTTCAAAGTCAGCAGTTCAAACTCACTAACCACTCCTTGGAAACCTATACAGGGTTTCTTTGTGTCAGAACCAACTTGATGGCTCTTAACAACAACAGAGCTTATTAAGAATGGAGAATTACCTTTTGCCTTTCACTTATTTACTGATATATTTTGTCTTTCACTCATTCAATAAATTTGATCATTTCAGCCTCTGTTGGGCTGGCTGCTAGAGGTACCACAGTGATTAGATGAGGTCTTGTCCTTGGGGAGCATAGAGTGTAGGGTAGATAGAGGAGGACACAGAGGAAATGGCAACTCAGAGGCACGTACTGGGATGGGGGAAGCACAGGGGTTGTGGGGACACCGAGCAGATGCTGAGCTCAGATGGGTAGAAAAGAGATCAGGGAGGGTTTCTTTGGAGAGGTAATATTTAAACTGTGACCTGAAGGACAAATCAAAAGTGAGTGATGCAGAGCACAAACAAGATGGTGGAATGGGTGGAAGTACAGTAAGAAGCTCTGTCAGCAACAACACAGAATACCCAACCAAGTGGGCTCAGGGGATGGTCCCAGAACTCTGAACCACATATAAAGGATTACTTAGAAGTTTGGAAGGCTTACAACTGGGAGAATTTGTGGTAGAAGCAAGAAATCCATTGCTTTCTAGTTTGGGATGCTCCAGGAGCCACCATCTTGGGTGAGACCAAGTGGGGGAAGGATTGGAGCGGCCACAGATGCTTGGCAGAACCGCAGAGATAAAGGTGTGGACATTCTTTTCTTTTGGTATTTGTTCATTGGTCCTTTGCTGTCTGAGCACCTCTATTCTGGTGACTATAGGAGTGCCTGAGATAGTGGACACCCCAGCCCCACCTGTGGAGGGTTCTACTACACATGTATGCAGATCTCCTCGAAATTTAAAGAGACAGTCTCCACTTAAAACCAAATGGCCATAGCCGGCCCTGAACTGTTTATAACTAGAAAAAAGGCCTGAATGGGGATTATGGAGTGGGACAAGCAGACAAAAGAGGAAATAGGCTAAAAATTAAATCCTAAGTTACGTCAAAATGACCAACAGTGGCATCTTGAAATATCTCAAGAAGAAGAGTGAAAAGGGAAGCCCATTTCCTGATCACATCTACCTAGAGGCATTCAGAAAGTATAACAAATACCAAAATACATACTCATCTAAGTATTAAGGCCACTGATAATATGCCCAAAAAAGAGAAGCAGATGACCATATCTGCACATGTCCAG